ACCCCTTGGTGATATCATCAGAGGTCATGATCTTGATTTTCACTTTTATGCAGATGACTCGCAATTATATCTCGCTTTTGAGTCAACCATTGAGGAAAAATTGGGAGCACTGGCACAAATTGAAATGTGTGTGAAAGAGATTGATTTGTGGATGGTCAAAAATAAATTGAAATTGAATGGGGACAAGACTGAACTACTAGTAATCAATGCACGAAATCGTTCATGCCCTGCTGTAGAATATATAGAAGTATCTAATTCAAGAATTCAACCAACCACTTCAGCACGAAACATTGGTGTAACTTTCGACCACCACATGTCTATGGATAAACATGTTACCAATATTTGCAAGAACTGTTTTTTCCATTTGAGAAAAATAGCAAGAATAAAAGAGTACTTATCAACGTCAGATATCCAAACTTTAGTTCATGCCTTTATTACATCGAAACTGGATAATTGTAATTCTTTATTATACGGATTGCCTAAATTTCTTATCGATCGGTTACAGAATGTGCAAAACTGTGCTGCCCGACTGGTGACAGGAAGCAAAAAATACGATCATATTACTCCATTAATGAAACAATTACATCGGCTCCCCATCAGTCAACGCATCATCTATAAAATTGTTCTTATCACGTATAAATCTCTGAATGGCTCAGCTCCACATTACATTAATAATATGCTAAAACCTTACACACCATCAGCAAATTTACGCTCCTCATCCAAAGCTTACCATACCTTCAGTAAAACTAGTGAACTATGGTGAACGATCGTTCTCATATGCTGCACCGAAACTGTGGAACGAACTACAAAAGTATATTAAAAAGAGTGAGACCTTGCCTATTTTTAAAACCAGATTAAAGACACATCTTTTTAAACAGTATTATGACTAAGTTATTATTTTAACAAGATTATTAGCAATTTTATAGTATTCTATATAGTTGTTGTTTTAATATTATCAACATACATAACATAAAGTAATTTTATATTCTTAACGAGAAGAGCATATAATTATTTTTTAGTAATTTTATAGTATAGTAATTTTAGTAGTCAATGCATGCACTATGTTCTAACACTTATATATAGTATATATTTTTTACACCTGATGTTAAGCGCTATTGAGCTATGGGAAATGGCGCTATATAAATGAATTATAATAATAATAATAATAATAATAATAATATGAGAAGCGGGCCAGCCCGGTTTGCTGGGATCTCGCTTGAGCGAGGCGAGATCCCGGCTTGCTGGGCTCATATGAATGCACAACCGGGCTAGCCCGGCAAGCCGGGCTGGAAATTTGCGTGCTTTATTCCACTGATAAACAGTCTAAAATGTCCAAAACTATAGGAATTTATCGAAATTAAACCTCCTGAATCTGTTGCCGTCGACAAAAATAAAATTTTGCCAAATAAACACGAATTTTATTTTCCCGCTAAAATATCGCGGGAAATCGTTACTATGAATAGATATGATTGCCGGGCTAGCCCGCCTCATGTGAAAGCAAAGCGGGCCAGCTCGGTAAAGCGGGCCAGCTCGGTAAAGCGGGCCAGCTCGGTTAATTAACCGGACTCATATGAACAGGCCCTGAGACCGATGGAATAAAATTCAAATATAATACGCACGTACGTAATTAAACCACGCGCGGCGATCACGGAAACAAGATGGCCGACACAATATACTATGGATTGATTAAGTTTTAAAACTTAAAAGAAAAGTACTAAATACTTGCGTTAATAAAAAATTCCCATCGTATTCACGAAGGTATGTGGCAAGTTTTATGTTCTCAACTTGGAGACTTTTAATTTTTGGTATAATATATCATGTATAGCTCGAGGTATTCGGGCAATTATTGGCCTCAGTGATGATATGGTTATTACCCTCACTCCTCACTGATCAAATATCATCACTCCGGGTAATATTTCACCGAATCCCCCTCGCTCCAGCCAGTCTAGGTTTAATTATAAATCATAAATGATAAATGGCATATCAGTTCTTTAACAAACAGTGTTAAGTAGTCATACATACTATAGTCTATATACATTAATATAAATCTTCTACTGTAATTTCATTTATCATATATAATTATATTGAAACTGGCAAAAGAGTTTTCTCAAGTCAGGCGCCATTTTGGATTGCGTTGCCGCGTCAGAGAAAGCCCGGTGACAAGGTGCTCTGACATATTTGAAATAGCCTTGACCGATCAACCGATCGTCACGCGTGATTGTGCTCATGAAGTCAACGTTACCTTAGACTTTCAAATAACTGATCATAATCTAGCATGCACATTAGGTCAGTGATCCATTATTATTTGACTCAACTTTGTTTATATAATGAGTGGAGAAAGTTATGACGGATATGGTCATGTTAAACAATTAAATGCCAACACTACTCAAGAAGAACTTGTTCAACTCTACTCAGCTTGGAGCAAGACATATGATAAGGTAAATATAGGCCAATTTACATGGTGTATGGATTTCGATATTCACATATATCTGTTGGAATATCATTGCAATCTGACTAATTGGTTTCTAAACCAAATTATGGAAAGTGCTTCAGATGTATTAGTCATTGCCCTAAAAGTATATAATCACTGTAAAATGCGTACAGCAATCTAAACGGTTTCACAGGACAAAATCAAAAGGTGCTTATCCATTGATCAATACATGAAATTTGAATTGCAAATAAGCAAAATTATGTGTGGTGTATATCTCGTACATTCGTGTGAAGCAAGCGTAAAATTATTGAATATATAGAAGGTATCATTGTTCCTATTAACCAAGGGGCTGTTAACATATAACCCCGCTTTGCGGGGACGGCATGGAAGGCGGGATGATTTTGATGTATTGAAATAAATTAATCACTAAGTTTAAAGTAAATAAAAGTCCAAACGCCGGTGGAAAGAACTCAAATGTTGTCGAGAATATTACGTTGTTGTTGTTATTATCCCTGCTTGAACAGTTGAACATAACCTTTCGTTCACAATTATACTATGGTCTATCAGTAGAGAATGTCGTTTTGCTGAAACGCGTACCGTGAGTTGATTTCAATACATCAAAATCATCCAGCCTCGCATTTCAGCCCAGCAGAGGGGGATCATGTAGACAGGCTCTAAAGCCTGCAGCACACGAGAGCTATCTGCTGAGCAAAAAGTTACTCGTGCCTGTTAGCTCAGCCGATAGCTCACCGATCAAACATGTTTGATACGTGAGAAAAGGTTG